ATATGGCACTTTGTTGAGCTATCATTTGTGGCCAGGTCTCTTCTGAAAAAGAGCTATACACTCAGTTGGCTTTACCTGGTCAAATAAAGAAAAGTTTAGTTTTAGTTACAAATGAAACAGATGGCACCGAGTCCAGACTATAGCAAATGTGATGATGGGTGGAGTGGTGTTTAGCAACTCACTAAACAATACACCGGATGTATCACATAGACTCCAACTCTAGGCGACCCACCAATTTCACAGTCTAAGCTCTCTGAGCTACAGATCCCAACCACCACTACATCCAACATAACCAATCACCCTCACCTCCCAAGAGGATGGGTCTCTGTCCTTGCCCGACGGCAGATTGGTCGATCTGTTACCAACGGGACAAACACAGGTCCAACGTCGTACTTGCCCACCCCACCAATTTAAATGGTGGGCTGCCAATTTTCAAACTCTTTACCGCATACTGAATTTAAAGCTAACCAAATAGTTTAACACGTAGGCTTTCGCGACCAATATCATCCATAAGAGGTTTTTTGGGTTAGATCGCGTAAATATATAAATGTGTCGTTTAAACCCGCCACCACACGACACAGCCAACTAGTAAGGGTTGTCATGTAAACAGAACATTAGAGAATCTATCAAAGTTGAAAGAAATAAAAATTAGATTAACCGTTTGGATAGCTACCGCCTTAGTGCTGCGTGGAAGCGAATTACCAAATAATACATTATTTAAATGCATGCCTACAAAGGGCACCATACTTCAATAGGGACTACCGTTGGAACAGCTATTTTAATGCACACAATAGACAGGAAGGACAAGATCAAAGGGCTCACATAATGCACATGCATAATGTGCATTGACTCATTAATTCCCCCCCCCCCCCACTTTGCGCAAGAGCGCAGAAGTGTGGCCACCACATCTACCCCTCTATATAAGGAATGAAACAGACTTCTCCACAAATCTGACTGCCGCCTGATGAAGCTAGTTGTAATTACTGGTGAAACGTCGTACTCAGATTGTAAATGTTGTGGCTTGGCTCTCCAATACACCGGTGTGCTGTACTCGTGACGAATTGGCCACGTTCTGTTTACGTGACAACCCTTACTAGTTGGCTGTGTCGGGTGGTGGCGGATTTAACGAAACATTTATATATATATACGCGATCTAACCCAAAACACCTCTGCTAACCAAACAGGTTCACAAAACGTAATATATGTGTATAGTCAGCAATTAGTTGCTACGTGGCAGGTGACGGCCGTGCCTCCTGGTGGAGTGCGTGGCAGCCGGCGAGCGTCTCCTCTAGCGGCGTGTTGTGGTCGGGCGCGTGCAGATAGAACACATCCGCTGAGGAGCGACGCAGGCGCTGCAGGGACGTGCTGAGCTGAACGCGCAGGCTGTCAGCTTTCAGGGTGTTGGTGCCCCATGGGTTCGCCTTGGTGTCCACGCTCACTGAATGCCAGAAAGACACAACGAGCATACACACTGATAATAATAGGAAGCCGCTGGAACTATGCACTTTTGAAAACTCATTTCTTTATAAATGCTTTTTGTGTTTAGTTTATTGACCTTCCCCCACACTTCCAATAAGCGTGATTGGCTACATATGGTGCAAAAGAAGTTTAACATGCATACACCGAGGATAAAACAGGTATTAATAAAACTCTGTTCAATGTCTGCACTTATTCTTGTTATGAAGGATGCCTGGGTGACTCTCCTTCACTTTTGTCTGTGGAAGACCTCCTCCCTCCCTCCCTTGTTGTCACCTGAGCCACTTTCATGTTCTCCTTCCATCTCATCTTCAGTCTTCCTCAGCCTCTTTTTCCAATCTAATTTTAAGAACTCTGAAAATGTTTACCTCCTCACTCTGCACCACAGGGCCATATGCTCTCAGTCCTGCTTTCGCTTTGTCAACAATACTTCGTATCCCCAGGTATTTTCTGATGCCTCCACATATAAATAAACATTTTCAGTCCAATTTTGTCTCTCCAGACCAATATTGTCCAGCAGCATTTGTTTAAACAAGAAAACTCTGGACTTGTTTAGACCTTCTGGGTATGATCAGCACAGTCACATTTGTTAAACAAATGCTGTAGGATTTTCAGATGTTATTGGCAAGGTCACTGAATATAAACTATGGGATCCCCTTCGTGAAAAGCAAAACTTTACAAAAACTCATGGGTAAATGGCGTAAAATGTTGAAATGAAACATACATTTTTCAACATTTAATTATTTGGCAGCAAAACATTTTTAAATTTGAACAATCATTTATGTTTTCACATCCACATGGAAGAAATGAAGGTGTGGGGGCACTCAGGGCAGTTACCGACCTTGGTTCTCAAACGTCCCGCCGGTGCCGCAGAGAGTGCCCAGGATCTCCTCGGAGCGCCCGCCCGCATACATGAGTGCTGTGTCCAGGTGCCGGTGCCCACCGGCCGTGAAGAGCCGCGTCATCTCACGACTCATGGCCTCGTCGGCCCGCCGACCCATCTCCATGGTTCCCAGCACTGTGCGCGGCAGTGTGGCCACGCGACCTGCCATGGCTCCTGTAGCGGAACATATGAGCTTGATTGTTGTCATATATAGATTGTTGTCATATATATGAGATTGTTGTCATATATATGACAACAATCATAAATCACCCCTTATCTCTGTCTATGTGGGTGGGGGGTCATTATTAGCAGCATATCCTTCTCATGGAAACCCTATAGGCAAAGCTCATGTATTCTCACATATTGTATTCACAAATACAATGAGTCAAGTATTATTTTTCAAGTCATTGTACAAATGAAAATGTAACACCAAGTTGTTGTGGTAATACGTGATCGAATATTACTGTTCAAGCCACAGTGTGATTGTGGCCATACAGACCGAACTACGGATCATGTAGCAAGCCATTGTATTCTGCACTCCTTCAAGGGAGGAATTGAAAAAAAACCACACGAATTCTCTCCTGAAGCCCTCTCGTCGTGGCCAGCAGACCTCGACATTGCCATTTAGCTCCCAAAACATATTGCTGCAACATGCAAGAATATAAGACTGTCCGTAGAAACTTTTTTTTGTAATGTGGTACAATGTGTTTTGCAACGTTACACATTAAATGTTGCATAATAAACATCACCAAAATGGGTCATACTCCTGTCGCACAACGTTGGCAAAGGCTTTCTCTGAAAGGGCCACGTAATTTGACAATACAGTTTTTTTTATTTAAAGATTTCGTGACTGCAGTAATTCATATTCTTAGCTCTTTCGGTAAAGTCACGTTGAAGGGAAACAATAAAATAATAAAATGTGTCGGTTTGCAAACCGACACACCTGATGACGACCATTTGTGTTATGGTCGAAACGTCGTGAGAATTTGTATTGTTTTATATATATTTTAATATTTTATTGTTTCCCTTCAACGTGACTTTACCGAAAGAGCTAAGAATATGAAATACAGTTTGGCTTTATACAGCGCCTGAATGCGACCACACCTACTGTGATGTTGCCTTACTGTGGGTCTATGAGCACTGCACCAGTGCACTATTTCTATTCTCGCCCACGGGAATATCTTCAGGATCGAGATGCTAATGTCCAGCTGTGCTCGCCGCGACGAAGAGGGCTTCAGGCGAGAGGAAGTTCGTGTAGTTTAGCTATTCCTCCTCTGATGTACATACCTGTCAACCCCTTATTAGTGCCCTACCTTATTACAGACCAATTCAGACCTTATTGGTCACCCCGTGCCTTTATAAATCTCAAGGTTCATCCTCCACAAACAAATAGAAAAACATTTTATCATTGGTTCTTTCGGTAAAGTCACGTAGAAGGGAAATAATACAAATATAACAATAAAATTATCACGACGTTTCGATTGCAACACAAGCAATCATCATCAGGTGTGAAAACCACAGCAATATTTTTTTTTAAAGTCGCGGTTATTTATTATTTCCCTTCTACTTGACTTTACCGAAAGAACCAAGACCAAGAATACGCGTAGCTTTTCAACTCCTCCGTTGAAGGAGTTCAGAATAAAGTGGTTTACTACATGGGCCATAGTTTGGTTTGCATGGCCACAGTCTGGTAGTTCGTGCAGGTTTTCCTATCATCCCACCTTCCTCTGTTGAGTGAACGCGGGCTTAGTGGCTCGAGAGCACGGAACACCACAAATCTCGGGGCAAGTGGTCCAAAGGTCGCCGCTTCTTGCCGATATTACTTCGCCATTCGCCGCATCGTTACAAATTCTCACCGCCACCAAACCGCAAGTGAAAACCACCTTTTAACTCGCCGTCTTACTTACACCGCCGAGGTTATATCGCGAAACGTCGCGCAAAGACGTTAATAAGCACAGCGCTCAGTCAAAGACGCGCGTCCAGCCACAGCGTTGATTCAAATCGTTACATTGGAAGCGTGCAATTCATTGCGAACGCGGCCGGTGCTCGGGCGGTAAACGTTTAGCGCGGATTTAAGCACTCGTCTAAATGTGCACGAACGAATGAATAATACAAGTTTTAAAGCGTCGTAAAATAAAAGTTTAAAATCGAACCTCTCAGTTGCGGCCTGCAACGTTGCACCCACGCAGATGAAATCGATTGTAGCGATTCACTTTATGACAAAAAGAGAGATTCTGTAATCGATACGTAACCATCTGTCGACTCCGTCTCGCTTATTCTGTCTCGTTCTCACTACTCTGTTAGACTCAGCCTAACGCTTGTGCTGGATACATGAACGTAAGTGAATTGTAAATAATCGATAGTGACACACATGGTTCGTCGATTCGCGAGACAATTAATAAAATTGTGATACGAATCGTTCGCGCGCGTCGACGAGTTATTGGATATTATTGGCTTGCTCTTGCGCACGTGACTCTCCTTGAATAAATTATGTATTTTGTCACCTTTAAGCTGGCTGGTCAATTATCCCTCAAATACCATATATGGCGATAACTAACATAATATATCCACAATCTAACGTGACGCAAGTTCCTGTCTACCACCATATATGGTAATTAATTAACATAATATATCCCGAATGGGCGGCCTCTTGCACCACGTTAACATAATAAATTTCCCGCTGTTTTAATTTATGCGTGACGTCATTTCCGCCTCCCTCTTTCCCCGTACCGCGCCATCATGGGTCGCATGCACGCTCCCGGGTAAGCTCCGCGACACCGCCCGACGCGGCCAATTCCCAGCCGTACAAACACTCGCACACACGTTAAAACATTCTTTATTCACTCACGGTAATGACCGACAGTGAGGAAACGGGTATTGTTAATGTCTTAATTTGGTGTTTAAAGCGGCTACAATGCGGCCTAGTGCAGGCTCTTATCATGGCCGGCGGCGATGGAGGCCTAGCGTGGCTGTTACACATTTTACATTTAATTAAATGTAATAAAATACATGCGTGCGAAGTTGTCTTTGCATTCTAGCTCGCAGGGCGCTTTCCTTTGTTCCCGATGCTTGCTGCCGCCTCGGCGCTGCTCAGCGCGGTCGGTGTGGAACGATTGACTAGGCTTCCACATGGGCGCTTCTTAGGTTTCATTAGCACACGCTGACACGCGGCTATACTCTGTTAATGTAAAAGTGTAACCAAAGTGCCTCACGAAAGACCGAATTGAGGTAGCTTACAACGATATACCTTTTGAGACGTCGCGGTTTTTATCTACTTTTGGGGGTTATTCGACCATACTTCACGCTGGTTCGGGGAGAGGCCCTCGTCTCGCGATTGGGATTGACAGAGAGATGGTGCTTGCTCACCTTTTAGCTTTACGTATTGCACTCAATCATAAGCAGATCGACGAGCGCGCTTGAGCCCAACATCTTTCCGATGGAGACCTGGTGGGGGTGGGGTGGTGGTTTTATTGAACCAGGTTATAAGCCCGAGATTCACATCAAAATTTTCCAAGTATTAGCGTTTTCAGGTTACGGTGTATAAATAACTCGGACGAGAACAAAAAGATGCACAGTCCATGTGCAATACTTTTGTATATCCTCACAATGATCCCACTGTGGGAGAATTTCTATTTTAAACGAGACTGGGTTGCATACAAAGTACATGGGGCGCGTGTGTAGTGAAGCCAGGTAGTTAATGAGCACGAAACAAGATGAATCCTGGACTGCTGCAATAAAGAATCCTAGCTTGGTACGGATTGCTATCGTAAAGTATGATGGACTGTGGTATGTGTTAATTTTGGTCCTTAATCTCGTACGTCCTAATATACTGATGTGCGATGAACATTGCACTAATGCATAAAGATGAAATGTTAGTCTCGCGTTTGGTGAGCAAATATGATGTACACTGCATGAGTGCATGATATAAAAAGGTCTGGCATACAATGAACATTGGCTTATTACTAAAGTTACTGTTGCATGGTTAACACAAGTTCTAAATGAATTTTGTAAAGAATTACAAAACCTTTGCGGTCCCAAACAACTAAAATATCAATCCAGTTAAAATAATGCACAATTCCATCCCTATTGAACGTTTAGCTCCATACTGCCGCGCTCCAAAATTAGTATTGTGAACGGAGTTGATTTCTTATTAGTCACATCTCCTTTATCAAGCCACAGTTTAATGAGCATTTCCCCCACACCATGTTGGTCCATGGGTTTGTTAGACCATACTTCACACGACGCTGGTCAGTGCTGTTGCTGAAAAAGGGGTGGGGGGCGGTTCAGGTTAAGTGCTGATATCATTTGCCACTGATGTTAGCCCTGACTGGAAAAAAACTCGGTCGTCAGATTAATCGTGCCATTTGTTAACCCCACTGCGCCACTTATCCAGCGTTCAGGCAAGTCATTAACTTAATCTCTGATCCACTGCTTTCTGAAGCCTTCACCAGCTCATAAGCCCTCGATAGAGCTGAATAACTTTCAGTTGGAGTACCATTTCTTAAGAACTAAAATTATGGATATAATTAAATGTTTGTGATAGAGCACCCTTCGTGCAAGGGCATCTAAGCGCTTTACATACGATAAATTTTTTATTGAAGTTGATAAATGCAAATTTCAGAATGGGTCAGAATAGCTTAGGAGATGTGAAGTGCCAGTTAAAAAATATGCACTTTCTAAACGTGTTCATAATTTTACAATTACATAATATCTTGCAACACTTTGACTTGTCACTTAGTCCAATATTAACACTATTGAACACCTATTTACAAAGTCAAATAGTGTGTCACCATCTTTCTGTTCTCACCCATGCCAATTGCAGTCCAGGGTGGAAGAGGTAGTTTTTGTGTTGGTGACCACAGCTAAACCTGATGATTGGTTATTGTAAAATGCTTTTTTTCCGAAGGGCAGCAGAAGGGTGGTGGTAACCTTACCTGGCAGACACTAATGCTCACGCTTGACCATGTCGTGTTGTCTGCAGAAAGGGCCTGTCTCAGTCAGCGCTGCCCTATCGCCGGAGTGTGCCAACAGTAAGTCACACAGTGTCCAATGTCCGGGAATTGCCCCCTAAAACATTACATACACACCGGATATATTTTTTCCTCAATAACGTGGGTGGATATACTCTACTTTGTCCTACATATAACAGCGTTTTTGGGAAGGACCACTAAAAATTGAGACATTTGAAAATCCCACTCCGGAAGATCAAAATTGAACACCGAGCAAAGCAATTCAATTTAACGACACAAACGGTCTGCTCGCAAAAAGCAGGAAAGCACAAATCTTTCCTTGGATAGATGTCATGTGGCCATCACATTGCAATTATAATGCTGTCAGCCTTGCCAAAGCTCCTAGCTCGCTTAGCTGAGCTGTGGCTGGATTGTTCAGACCACCCGACTAAACAGAGAGTAAAAGATGTGGCTGTCTCAACAGGGTGATATTATAGTTGAATCTCCACGATATGCAGACATGTCTCGAGCCACGCAGTCCCAATTTAGTATGGTGCTCTTAAGTACAGTACCATTGGATTGTGTTGCAGATTTGTAATTTGTATTTTTTTACCTTTTATATTGCCTTTAATTTTTGTTTATGAATAGCATTACAAGCTGTGATTGAGCTAAACTTGGTCTTCATGGAAATAGGGTTTTGATAAAAGAAATATATAGATACACCAGGGCACGCAACCTCTTTTATTGTCTGATATTTCGAGGCTGCATTATTATGCTGACACTTAATGCACATTCCCTGATGAGCTACTTTGTATCAACAGTGGCTCAAGCTGACTTCCGATGACGTCAAGGAGCAGATCTTTAAGTTGGCCAAGAAGGGCCTCACGCCATCTCAGATCGGTGAGCCCATCCAGTGCAATTGATCGTACAACCATTTTCACCACTGTATCCCGGAACACTTGCTGCAATGATGATAGAAGTAATTTTCATATATGCTGATTGTTTTTCCACGAGTGAGTTTTGACTTTGTTTTCTTTTAATAATGTTTTCCCTGTGGCACTTTGCAATGTGTGGGAGGATATGGCCTTCTTTAGAATATGCACAGGCAGTTTGAAGGCTGAAGATTGACCGGTCCTTAACCCCTAACCCCGCAAGTTGGTTCACCGTGATGATTGAGTTCCATATCATTCGTAGTTTCCACCAGAAAGGCATCATCGCCTCATGTTGGCAAACACCTTCCTTGGATGTCTGAGTGAACCAAACCCACAGATGAACATAAGATAAAACATTTTTCTTGATAATGCTTTGGCAATGGTACAGAAGCAGATGTTACAACACATTTGTAAATAACACTGTGCTTGACAAAAAAAATCTAATACATGACATGGGACAATAGCCCTTTATAGCAGACAGGTCACAGATTGAGAGAAAATTATATAAGACTGTGCAGAAGTAATGTAAAATCCTTGCACATCATGTAATGACACACATGAATCTGATACTTAAATAACTTTTGACATGCCAAAACACTTCTATTAATTATTAAGGCTTTGCGTAGTCGTTTGATTCAATAATTGATTTACCTTTGTCTAATTGGTTATGATTTTCTGTACCCCAATTGTATAGTTTTACTAACTCCATGAGCCTGAAGGTAACACTTATAATTTTCATTAAAAATGTATGTTATCAGACAAATGTATGTATTTATCATTCACGCAAAAATGATTTGCTACAAACCTTGAATCAGCATTGCAGTAGCGCACAACTGTTGTACATATTTCCAGGTTGTGTATTCCAAAAAGTTTAGTTCTCACATTTTATATGTACGGCCTTTTGTCAATGCCCTGCTTTATTGGGGGAGGGTGGAGTGGGGCTTATCGTAACCCGACGTCATGCTGGGTGTTGCGGGTTTGAAGGAAGCTTAAATATATGAGCAAAGGAAATAAATACTCTTTGGTTCTTTCGGCCAAGTCACGTAGGTAGAAAAATAATATATTATGTGATATCTTTTTTTTATTTTTCTACCTACGTGACTTTACCAAAAGAACCAAAGAGTATGGATTCCTGCAGTCACGAAAGCTTCAAATCTGAAAGGAAATAAAGTAAAACAATGGCATTTGCCGCTCTGCCCTCTGCTGCCCCACCACATATGGCCACAAAATTTTTTCCACCCCCAATTCTCTCAGAAAGATGTGTCAAGACCCGTAAGGTGAAGTTCTCGAATTAATGGCACTGGGCATCCACGCCGCTGACAAACGTGCCTCTCTTCTCCCCGCCTGTGGCAATCAGGCGTGATCCTCAGGGACTCGCACGGAGTGGCCCAGGTGCGCTTCGTCACTGGCAACAAAATCCTGCGAATCCTCAAGTCGAAGGGCCTGGCCCCTGACCTCCCCGAGGACCTGTACCATCTCATTAAGAAGGCCGTGGCCGTGCGCAAGCATCTGGAGCGCAGCCGCAAGGTGCGTCGTGTGGGAGAATGCACCGGCTGCTTGCGCTAGCACCTGGCGAAGGAGGTGGTGTTTTACTTTGTGGGGGTGGGGAACCTACATCCCACCCTCTGAGACTTAATGTCACGTGGCCACATGGATGCCTGTCACTCCTCAGTAGCCCACAAAGGATATTTGTTTGTCACTGCAACCATCTCAGCAGCACTGATGGGGTAGTAAAGGAAAATATTGTGACCTCACAATACTTTCTAATTTCAGCACTCTTGTTAATATAAGGGCCGCATTATACTCGTCGACATGCACATTATTTATTGCTTAATTGTCTCACACCAATTTAGTTGTAATTGTGGTCTGCCAAGGGTTATTTAAGTTCCTTTTCAGCCCTTGTTAAGGAATAGGTTCCTCCATACCTTGCACTATTGGCAAGGTATACCACTCAGATTTGTGGAGTGAATCTGAGTGGCATTTTCGTGCCACTCGGATTCAACCACAGTGGGAGTCTGGTTGTCAGAGCAGCACCTCCCTTCCGTGTCTGCGTGTGCCACAGATTTCTGTTAATGACAATGAAAGTGGAAGTAGTCATCTTGGTTCTTTCGGTAAAGTCACGTAGAATAGAAATAAAATAATAATAAAACGTTTTATTTTTATTCTTTTATTTTATTTCCATTCTACGTGACTTTACCGAAAGAACAAAGAAGATGAATCCCTGCAGTCACGAAAGCTTTAAATCGAAAGTGGAAGTATTGTTTAAAAAAACTGCACATTTTCGAGCAGTGACGATTAAGCTTCCTTTGACGAGTTTATTTTACACACACTTCTTTGGCTGTAACGGTGAAACGTTGTGTTGATCTCAATGCCGTGCCCGTGTGTGCAAATGCATGTTGGCGCATGCATGTGATGTGTGTATGTGCTATGCAGGATAAGGATGGCAAGTTCCGGCTGATTCTGATTGAAAGCAGGATCCACAGGCTGGCACGCTATTACAAAACCAAGCGTGTTCTGCCGCCCAACTGGAAGTAGTAAGTATTTTTTTTACTTTTGTGGCCTGTTGGTTTCTGGTAACCACTCAAAAAGGTGTGATCTTTAACACATTCCTGCGGAGGGAGCTAGTAGGAGCGTTGGGTTGCTCGGTCAATGGCCAGGGTCAACGGCGGCATGGTGTATTCCGCAAATATGCCCGACTGTGAGGGCGGGCTTGGCGGCTTATAATGTAGAGATTGAGAGCGGCCGCATACTCCAAACGCATGTTGTTGATTCTCCACGTGGAGGGAAAAATGTCGTGAAGATGGCCGGACGTGGTTGGTGGCCACCCACCCCCTGTGTGTGCCGTGGCCGCCTTCCCCACCCAGCCCCTCCCCACCCTCTCTCCACCCAGCTCCACCCCTCCCCACCCCTCCCATTTTTGGATGCACGACGGACGGACACAATAATCCCCTGTGGGCTGGTGGTACCAGGAGGTTCCTACCAGTATCATTCATATATCATGCTGTCCTTATGCTTGAAAGGCATAGATGGTATTGAAACAAAAACCACATTGATACTGATAGTCATGCCACCCTAATTCATTTCCCACCATTTGCAATAGCATAGCAACTAAAAATAAACCAGTGACCATTCCAGTGCATGTCCTTTTTTGTAAGTCCAATCAGATTAAACACGATGCGGTTCATGGGGGGGGATGAATTGATTACACGAAAGTGGTCAGTGTGTGTTGGTGAAGACCCATAGCATGTACTCAGGGTGCCATAGTGGCGAGATGTTAACTACCTCACCTGGTATGCTGGAATGTAGGAGGTTGTGGGTTCGATCCTGACCCTGGGGCCTGTATATTTGAAGTTTGCATGTTTTCCCCGTGGTCAAATGGATTTTTCTCCAGGTCCTCCGGTTTTTCCCTCTACATTTAGAAACATGCGTTTTAGAGTATTTGGCTGCTATAAATTTCCACATGATAAGCCACTTCGTTGAGCTATCATTTGTGGCCAGATCGCTTCTGAAAAAGAGTTTTATATAGCTCGGTGGGCCTTACATGGTAAAATTAAAATAGGTTAGAAACACAAGTATCGAAGTACATTACTAACAGTTTAGAAGTAGATTCAAGAGCCGAATGGCTCACAGGGTTATACCAAATAAATGAACTAACTTAGAGTTTATATAGTTTTAAGTGGTACATTACAATTACACCACGTATTTGCAATTGACCAAAGAGTTGTTTCTGTGTTGACCTATTTGCCCTTTTTTTTCTCCACAGTGAGTCATCCACGGCTTCTGCTCTGGTCGCCTGAGTCAGGAATTTGTTTCAATAAAGCATTTGGCTCACAAGATCACACCATCTCGCGTCCTTGACCTGTTTCTGTGTGCACTCATGTATGAAAGAAACTTGCGCATTAAGTGTGTTGTATTGTCACTTGTCATTTTGACTGCTTTTATTTTAGCGACATGGAATGTGCAGGTTTTCTTAAGCTTGGCTCTCACCCTCCACAGTTGCAGCTGCCAGCCAGTACTTGCCCCTGACAAGTAACATAGCTTTGCCCATTTACCACCGTGTATCAATTTTACATAAAAAAAAATCTCGTTTGGTCCTGTTTAAAAGCATAAGTGTTGGCATTTCATTGCCACGAAGAAAAATCCAATGTTTGCACGTAGTAAAACAAACCTTGTTATGATTATGGTCAGGTGTGTTGGTGCCAGTTTTGTTCAGGCTTGCATGCGTGTAACAGGGCACGGTGCACTCTGACTTGTCAAAAACCCAACCCACAATTGTTCACTGCCAGTTTTCGGGTAAGTGACTTGAATTGAATTGCAGTTCTAGGTTTCGGGTCGACCAAGTTAAACATTTACCATTTTAGTGTGTACTAATTCCAACTCGGGTGCTGAAATGTTATCTCCCTAGGCTGGTATGCAGGAGGGCATGGGTTTGATCCCGACCCTGACGAGCCTGTATATTTTGAGTTTGCATGTTCTCTCTGTGGACGTTTCTCCAGATCTGGTTTTTCCCTCCACATTTGGAAACATGCTTTAAAATTACGTTTTCTATACATTTCCACCTGACATCCACTAAGTTGAGCTATCATTTGTGGCAAAGTCGCTTCTGAAGATCCAATTGCTCAGTGAGCTTTACCTGGAAAATACAATACAGTAGAACCTCGGAGATCGAACGCCCCAGAACTCGAACAATTCGCTGAGCGAACAAAATTTTCGACCATTTTTTTTGCCCCGGACAACGAACAAAAGTTTGGAGGTCGAACAACTGGAAAGAAACTATGGGCCGAGACGCGTAGCCAGGGTGACCGAGACACAAAGGCGGATGACCCAGTTTAAGCGTAGCTCTCGTCCTTTATCACTGTAAAGTTCCTGCCCCCCAATACGACTCCTCACATCCAGCCCATGGACCAACAGGTAATTTCCAACTTTAAAAACTATACACGAAAGCCCTTCTTCAAAGGTGGCAAAATGGGCCGAGTTACACAAATTTGTAGAAAAATATACAGAACGCACTAACCAGCAGAGCAGGCGATTTTATAATGCATTGAGTCATTTCAGAAACATCTTAAAACGGAGGCAGAAACCTCTCGATCAGTTTTTAGTAAAAAGGCCCTCAAGTGAATCTGCTAGAAAAAAGGCAAAGAAAAGAACCCCAGAAAGGCAGTTACCCAACGTGTTTATGGAGGGGGACTCCCCCATCCAAGCAACACTGACACCACCTTCCACTCAAGCCATCCACTCTCCTTACTATAGGTAAAGTGAAGTTCAATGTTCATTCTATTATAACTTTCATGTACTGTATTTTTGTATTGTAAACTTTGTGTAAAAATGGCCCATAATAGCATCCTTGGGTGGGGAACCAATTAATGCTATTTCCATTCATTCTCATGGGGAAAATTGATTCGGTGTTTGAACAAATAGGTGTTTGAACACGGTTTTGTAACGAATTAAGTTCGATCTCCGAGGTACCACTTTAGTTAAGATGACTGATGGTGGCTTTGGCTGCAGTATCACAACCAGCCGTTTCCTGTAGAAAAGGCCCAATCTATTGACATTTTATTTACTATCTTTGTGAGAGGCCAAGAGGTAGCTTGAACACCGTCAAATGTTATTGGAACTGAAATTCCTCATCTGGTTACAGTGTAAAAGCCTCTGTACAATATTAATCTCATCTTGAATCCAACGGACTGCGGTTATGTGCTTTAAACAGCAAGGACCACCTTTTAAAAAAAAATGAGTGTCAGTGGACAATATAAACAATCACTGTAAAATGTGGAACATTTCTACAATATGGTAGAACCCGGAGCAGCAATGCTATTTGAAAATGTCCGGAGACCATCTGGGGACATTTTTTAAGTAAGAGACATCGGTCTTCATACCCAATGAACCGTGGTGCAGTGGGTTTGATTTCTTGATCCAACACCGATTCGCTCACTATCGGTCCCGTAGCCTCATCCTGTATCGCATCTACCGTGGTAACTTTCTGTGAACGTCTCGACATGAGACCACCCACGTTGACTGTATTCCAAACGATTTCGTCCCGTACATAGTGTTCAACTAGCATAACCCCTATTGTGTTCAACTAGTATGACGCGTCCTGTGTTCATCCATAGAGGTTTTTGGGTCCGCGTAATGTGTCAAAACCCGCCACCACCCGACACAGCCAACTAGTAAGGGTTGTCACGTAAACAGAATGTGCCAATTCGTCACTAGTACAGCACACCGGTGTGTTGGAGAGCCAAGCCACAACATTTAGAACCTTGAGTACGACGTTTCGCCAGTAATCACAACCAGCTTCATGTGTTCAACTAGCATAAGTCATAACATCTATTTGCATCTACTCAGGCACTGCTCGGTCCCATGCAGAAACGTATTATAAAGCGATTACACACATCAGCTATTTTTATTTTATCGGGGCCCACTTTTTCATAAGCTACCTGGCCACAAGAGATAGCTCAACGAAGTGGCTTATTGCGTGGAATTTTTTTTAGCAGCCAAATATTTTAAACGCATGTTGATTCCAAATGTGGAGGGAAAACCGGAGGACCCGGAGAAAAATCCACGCGACCACGGGGAGAGAGACGCAAACTTCAAATATACAGCAGCAGGCGTTCTGCATACTAGACGAGGGAGTTAACATCTCGCCACGGTGGCGCCTAATGTTCGTATTTATTATACCTTAAATAGTTATGTGTCAATATCACTCCTATTATTATACCTTTAATAGATATGTGTAAATTTCCGGCCGCTTGACTTATCGTGCTCGGAAATTGTAAAACATTGATATACCTGTAAGCTAACGCATGCAACCCCATCGCTCGCCACCTTTGCAAGAGTCGTGTCAAAACGTGTGGTTCGCATTCCTTCGGTGCTGCGCTCAACGCGGTCGCTTTTGAAAGTAATTGCACAAGACCGTGCCCTGGCACGCGTCCAATGGAACATCAACACCAAAAAAATATACCCATGAGCTGCTGTTGGAAATAGCCGCCGAACGAAAAGGAGAAGTTGAGCCTGAGACGCGAAGTTTCGTTTTAATACGGGAGGGGTTCGCTGGGGTGGTTTGGAGGGGTGTATTGAACTGGGGTGTTTCATAACTTGCGGTTACGCACGGACGCTGTTGCACGAATACATTTTAAAGGCATGTACATAGTTCGCTACTCAACAACCACAAGCCATGATCAGTCCACCGCTGGATGACAGCCACCTCGTGGTTCGATGTATATCGATCCACCTGGCTCGTGTACAGGGGGGCGGGGGGGGGTTACGTTTCATGTCTCCGTGCTCTGCGACTGCCACTCTCGTCGTCGTAGTCACTCAACCACCACCAGCTCGTCATCCCTTCTAGCGGCGTGTCCTGTCCACGTGCATTCATTTTTAACAGCGAGGGTGGTGCCTTTTTAGCCATGTCCGGGTTCTCCAATAAATGTCAAGTCAGACGTGAACATTTGTCCACAAAACGTCGCGTGTATTGCCCGAGTTTTTGAGTGCGCCCGTAAAAGTGCGTGCGATCGACAATCCTCTGCGTCTATAAATCTGACGCCTCTGCACCGAAGAAGGGCAATTATTGCATGAAATATCAAGTCTGCTGCAAAACACGATGCGTTTATGCGTTATACGCCAGTGGCAATGATTGATGCGGTGGGGGTTTTTTCTTCGGTCTGTGTGTGCTGTTGTGCACCACTTCCTCCCCAAATAACTCAAGTTGAAGTTGTTCATTGCTCACTTTGCTCGTAACTCTCGCAACAGTTTTGTTTATCTCGCACAATAATTAAATCCGAGATGTACTCTAGCCACGTGCTGGCATGTTCGCAAAAGTGAGCGCACCGATTTATTATTTTCATTTTTTACCTTGGCGCAACAAGCAACACATGGGGATCAATATCCACGGATCGATAACATGAAATGAGTTTCGTAAATGTCAACCACGATGTCGTATGACACCACAAATTATGGCCGGTACGGCTGACTGTTTATCCAGTGCCTCTGCCTCAATTGCCCGTGCAGATGTGAAACGGACAGAGCAGTAAGGCAGACATTTGGTGCTTGGAGCATGGTGCCACATGGCCACCCCCGTCACCACCACCCCTGCTGCGACACCAGCACCGCACCACCAAATATTTAGAGGCACCACAGCCACCGCCTCCGGCCCGCTCCAGCAACTCGCTCCAGCAACTCGCTCCAGCAACTCGCTCCAGCAACTCGCTCCAGCAACTCGCTCCAGCAACTCGCTCCAGCAACTCGCTCCAGCGTCTACGACCAACTCGGCGGGCAGCGCCCCCGATTCGAGGAAGTGCGAACCCCCTCCCGCCCGTCCTTACGAGCACACCGCACACAAAAACGAAGCGTGTCTACTTGGGTCTATGCGTGTGTGTGTGGGGCCTCCACTAGGTCGACTCAGCCTGAAATTAGTACCTGGTGCGATGTGTGAACATCGCCACTAGGGAGACAAAGGCGGCCGGGCGCGGTGTTGTCCACCCACCCCCTCGGTGTGCCGTGCCGGCCTTCATAGGTGCTCGTTAACAGCACTTGCCCCAACATTCTGTTAAGGCTATAAGGGGGTTACTTTATATAATGCGTGAAGGTGTTTGTATATATCTGTCGGAACTCTCCTGCAGCTGTCATTCGACCGGGCGGAATCAGTAACTTGAAGCGGAGCGCTCTCGCATTGCCCTGAACCTTAATTTGGTTATGTTATCACGTCCTCCTTTCCCCTGCTACATTGTCCCCAAATTCCCTCTCCGCTCGTGTACCCTCTGTCTTTATTGGTGCGAACATAAAGCGTGTTTTCTTTAGATACCCAGGTTTAGAATCTCAGAGGGGCAACCGTGATTTGAAACGGAGACGCAT